TTTAAAAATATTATAAGCAGGTTAAGTGGGTCATATACAAATTAACACGATCACTTAACCTATTTATGTATTAAGCAGGTTACACGGGTTGTACATAGGTCAACACAATCCACTTAACCTGTTTATGATATTAAGTGGATTAAACATATCGTATTCGTGTCACCTGCCAAATTTTTGTATCGATAAATTTAACACAATTATTAAATTAGTCGTGTTCGTATTAACCCTAATTGTGTCGCTTGTTAGGTGAATCTATGTCAAACCTGACACGCCAACCCATTTTGACATCTCTAGATCATACCATGTATGACTTTTACTATTATATACCTTCGTAAAAGGCTTGGCATGATATTTAAGAAGATATATCTTAGCATTGTATTTTTTTTTTTTTTAACATATCTTAACGAGATACAATTTTATAATGCATTTTACGATTATTTTAATATACAAATTTTATTATTCTTGAATGATATTATAAAAGATTATTTCATCTTTTAGTATTGATTCACACATATAGCTAATTAACCATAAAAAGCAAAAAATGTATAAAATAAATAAATTATTTATCTTTTTGAAAATATTAAAAAATATCAATTATTTTTTTAATTTTACTACGTACTGTCTCTACTAAATACAATTAATTTTTTTTTTATAATTTTTAAAACCCATTTTATATCGTTCCCCTCTCTCTCTTTCTCTCTCGATTTTATGGTGATTAAAGTAGGGAAAATTATTGTTAATTGGGTGAGAGATAAGATAAATGACATACTTACAAATATAGCGCCTCAACTTGTTTCAAAATTTTATATTTTAATGGCTAACTGAAAAATTTTTACAATTGTGTCTGCATCATAAAAAATTTTGCAATTAAATACAATTACTAAATTGATTAAAATTGGTTGAGTCGGATAAAAATCACATTTCATGCAGATGAATAATATAAAATTAATTATATGCCCTTTTATTGTCCCTCTTTTCTCTCTCTTTCTTCTCCCAGTTCCCAATTCAATTCGGTCTCTGAATTATGAATTTAAATTATGGCTATTTTTACCAATTGACACGTCCAAATTGTGGCTTCTTCCGAGTACATCACAAATTACTTCCGTCTCAAAAAATAGTTAATTTTTTACTTTCACGTAGATTAAGAAATATGATTAAAAGATAATTTTATTCATATAATTTTTCTATTATATCAATTTTAAATAACACATGAATAATTATTATATTGAAAATAATAACTAAAAATTAATAAGGGTTATCGAAAATAAGATAAAATTTAATAAGGTTATATTAGACAATTCAAAGATTAACTATCACGCAAAAAAAAAAAAAAAAAATTGACTATATCTTAGAACAAAGCAAAAAGGAAAGATAAACTTTTTTTTTGGAACGGAAAGAGTAGTATCATTACTGTTATTGTTATCATTCACTCTTTGACTTTCAGACTTCTAAAGTACTTATTTTTCACATTTTTAGTTTTCACTTCTAATTTAAAATAAACTTTGCATAAAGTAAATAAATACTTCCACAGTCCCAAATATGAGTCATTTTTAGATTATTATTTTGTCAAAAAATATAAGTCGTTTTTGACTATTTTAAGAAGAAATAATTTTTTTTTTTTTTGTAATATTAACCTTATTTACATTAGATAGAACAACTACCTTCACAAGTTATTATAACGGATAATTTGGTCAAATTATCATTAGTTTTGGTATAATTTCAGAGAATTAATTGTTTTCTTAATTTACGTAAAAAATATTAAATGATTTATATTTTAGGAAAAAGAGACTAAATAATCTCTATTTCACCTTTAATTTCACAATTATTATAAGACTCCATCCGTCCCATATATATAGGTTCACTTTTCTTTTTCGTCCGTCCTAAAATGTAGTCCTATTTTCTTTTTTAAAAGATCATTTACTATGTAATTTCTTAAATGTACTCCTATTTAATATACATCCTTATTTCCTATTGTACATACATCATTTAATATTATAAAGGGATAGTTTTGAAGAAAGCTAAATGAAAAATATAGTTTAACTATATTAACTAATTTTTCTTCATCTATGTGAAAATCAAATTATGCATATATATTTTCACTATATTAACTAAATTTTTTTCTTCATCTATGTGAAAATCAAATTATGCATTATATATAAATATAGTATATATATAATATATAATATATATATATAGGACAATATATATAGGACATAGGAAGTATTTTTTTTTTTTGTTGTATATTCCATTTTTCAATTTTTATTTGTTGTTTTCTAAAAGTTGTTTTATCAAAAGTTGTTTGTGGTTTGAGAAGATTAAAGAATATTAATTATTTTTCAATTTTAACGTTCTCTGTATTAACATTAATACTTATTTTATATAATTTCTTAAAACCCATTTTATGTCGTTCTCTCAATTTTAATGGTATATTAAAGCAGAGAAAATTATTTATAACAAGTCGGTCCTCCGTGCTTCACACGGTTGTATAATAATTATATTTTTCGTTTCAATTGTAAGATATATATGTTGAGTAAATTGTAGAAATTCATTTTTTAGGCAAAAAGTGACTAAAATTATTATTAGATATAAAGTCTTGATAGGTACTTAAAATAATATAAATACTTAATTTTTATTTTTGTAGAGATTTATCTAATGGGAAGTATATAGTTAAAAAATCTATTAAAATATAATAGTTAATTCATCATTACATAAAATATATTTAAATCCTTTGAAATTGCAAATATTTAAATCCTTGTAAAAATAAATAAAATAAACTAAGCTAAGCAAAATATAAAATGAAAAAACAAAACTAAGTAAACGACTCAAAGAAAGCAATGAAATACTATAATGTTTTTCTTTCAACCGGCAATAAACTGAAAAGTTAAAGTTATTAAGTTAAGCTTTCAACAATGGAAAGAAATTTTAAAATAAAGAAAAAAGAAAAATAGAATAATGAACTAGAAGAGAATTTTGAACTTTCTATTTATATATGACAATATAAGTATTTGAATTCTCAATCATCAAAAAATAAAATAAAATAAAAGCTAAAACCACTAATTTCACATTAACCCAATTCTTTGAATCTTAAAAATAAGAAAACCCACATAGGTAGTCTTTTTCATGATAAATTCGGTAGCCACATAGGTAGTCTTTTTCATGATAAATTCGGTAGCCTTTTTCATGACAAATTTGATATAGTCATACAAACAATAAATTAAATTTAAAGATATCAAATATTATCCACTTGAAAATATTCAACTTATCATAAGAAGAGAAATTAATTTTCTATCTTTATAATTTACTAAAAAAACTAAGCATAATAATCAAACAAATCAAAAGAGAAAAAAAAAAAAGACTACTATTCATCTTAATTTATTATTTTTAAACTGTATGAGACTATTCTCAAATGTTGATAAGTTAATTATCATGAGAAGAAAAATAAACTTTGTACCTAATAATTTACTCAAAAATTAAGAATCATTACCAAACAAATAAAAAATAATGTGTATTTTTGAAACACATGATTTTTTTAACATTTTTTAAATTATTAATTTTTAAATATACTATATTTGATTTGAAGTTTAGACTACATAAAAAAATTTTATATTTGTAAATTATGAAAAATTTAAAGATTTAGACATTGTATTGTTTTTCTATTCACATATTTGATTTCTACCAAAAACAATAAGTAGCCATATTTAATTTGAATTTAAAAGCTATATTATATATATTACCTAATAATATATATTATATAATAATAATACATATATATATATATATATAGGTACATAAAATATGAAGATCTAAAAAAATTATAATTGAAATATTTTAATTTTTCATATTGCCATAATTAAATGATTTAGTTACTCATAAAAATGAAAAGGACAATTAATTATTGAAAAATTAAATGATGGGAAGAGAAAAAGTGGAAATAGAAAAAAGAAAAATGCTCAAAAAGTTCAACAAAAAAAGATAAAATCAACAATATTAAATATTAGGAGTTTTTACTTTCCATAAGAAAGTAACCACATTAAGCATATAGGAAAAAAAAATAATGTTTCTCCTTTATATAATATGATATTATAATAATAATATATATATATAATAATTATAATATTATATTATTATATATTATTATTAGGTGGAAATAAAAAAGTTTAATGTTAATAAGTATAATTGTATCTCAACTTAAAATTTAATTGTTTTTTAAAAAATTACTACCTGTTTTGAAGGGTAAAAGGTCATTTAAATAATTTTTAAATCTATGTATGCTGGGGAGTATTTAAATAGTAATAAAACTAGTCGGTGAATGTAATACCCTGAATTTTTATTACCCTGAATTTTTATTTTCAAAAATTTTCCAATTAAATTTAATGAACCGACAGCTTGGAAATTAATATTAATATTTTAGTGCGAATACTGTGATAAACCGAACCGAAAATCGATCGAAAAACTCAAAAACCAAACAAAATGAGACCAAATCACTGAATCGGACCGAACCGGTTCGAATCGAATCGGACCGGCCCATTTCTTTTCTTTTCTGTTTCTTTCTCTTTCTCTTCGTTTATTCCTTCTCCTTCTCCAGTTGCGTCACCTCCCCCTCCTCCTCCCTCTCCTTCGATCTCCGTCCTCCGGCCACACCAAATTCGGCAAATGAATACTCTAAAAACATCTACTCAACGCAAGGATGAAGATTATAGCGTAGATTTGAATTGAAATTGTGTCTATTTTGAAGGGTAAGAGTTTGAAGTTTTGGACACCCTTTTTCCGGCGATTCACGCCGTTTCAGGCAAGCCTAGGGCTCAAGGTGAGTACCAAATGACTCCTCTCTTCTTCTTCTTTCATTTGATGGCCTCCTCGTCGACTGTAATGGCCGGAATCGGAAAACCCAAAATGGGTATCACCGAACCTTTCCGATCAATTTCCGGCCAAATAGGTTCACACCCACACTTGATTTGAAACACATATTAGCGATCCTCTCATCGAAAACGAATAAATGATGTATGTTTGTCAATTTTGGTGAAGGTTAAATTTTCCGGCCACCGTGCACGGTGGCCGCAGCGGCGGATCCGCGACCGGCCGGCGAGACTCCGGCGAGACTTCCAAGGGACAGAATGCTCTCCTCTTCGCGCGGAAACACGAAATGAAATCTGATTTTAAATCGGTACACTCAAAGCTTAATCCGCAATTTTATGAATAAATTCTGAATTTATATTAATTAATGAAACTTAATTAAAGTATTTAATAAATAAATTAAATATTTAAAAATATATATATATATATATATATCCTAGCAATAATAAATTTAGGAAATTTTATTAACAAAATAAATTAGTTATAAACAATTAATTATAATGGATTATGTGAATTAAGTGAAGAATAAATGATGGATTTATGGCGGACGGGATTAGTGGGATATGAAATCTTGCTCGATAGATGGGCTGTGGTGTGGATTTGTGAAAATTTGAAAATTTGGATGGTCCAGTATTTAGAGGCAAATGCTGTCGCATTTTTTTAATAAAACACTAATGAAGACTTAATGAAGAATTAAATTAGTTATATTCTTAAGAAGTAGTGACGACAAAAATTTGAAGTATTAAGAAATATTATACAATATTAGAATTATCATTATACAATATTTCTCACCGAATAATTAGAGATTTTATCTAAAGGTTATAAATTAGAATAGTTATTTATATAAATGAGAGAACCTAAATATATATGCTATATAACAAGTGAATTAAATGACTGGTAGCCAAAATAAATAAACGAATGTGAAATATAAGTTTTTGAATTAAAATTCTTATTTAGAATTTTCTTGTTTATTTTAAAGGTTTATAAAATACAAAGGCTTATAAAATACAAAATGCGAGGACAAAAGCTGGAAGCATGTGGCTAAAAAAGGCAGTCCTTTTAAAGGACAATAAAGAACTGTGAGTAGTGTTAGATAACTAGTATCATCCACCTGCATTCATGCATTCACGGCTAAATGTTATCATGCATTATTTTGTTGAATTGCCATATCGTGCTGCACTATTTGTATTGCTTGATTCGCTGTGATGTGATATTGCTGTGCTTTGCTTGTGTGGAATTGGGATGAGGAAAGTGGGTCCCACCATGGGTTTGTGAGACCGTTACCGTTATATGGATCCGATTTACCGTTACCGTTATATACCGTTACGTTATATGGATCCATTAACCGTTAGCCGGGTAAATGGGAATCGGCGCCCGTGTGCACCTACGTACGTTACCGTTAACCACGGTGTTGGCTCTCTCGGTCGTTGCGCACCGGACAGTCTAGATTTGATTGCCAGCCCGCAGAGGTGGCCTGCCTTGTGAGCGCTTGATGATCTAGATTGGAATGGAGAACCACCGGGTGCCTCCTGTGGTATGAAAAAAGAAAGAAGAATGGAAAAAACAAATGACGAGGGCTTGGTCAAGTGAGGTTTAGGACGGTTCGGCAGTATGGATCGCTCCCTGGTGCACACCGGTGAGAGGATGGGCCATGTGTGAGACGGGCTCACGGGGTTCGGTGACTCCAGCTGGACTAATTTCCACGTGAGTGACGTGATGTGATTATATGAAGGTGATAATACTTGTGATTGCTGTTGTATTGCCATTTGTGTGACAAACTGCATGATCATATAACTAAACGGTAACCGGATAAAAATATTTTAGCATCTGTGTAATTGTGTGGGGTGAGAGGGTTCTCTAACCCTACTCATTGAGTTTGGCGCTCACCCCTGCCTACTATTTTTTTCAAGTAATAGAAAGAAAGGAAAGCCCTATGGAGTTGACACTTATTGTAGAAGACTGTTAATGATAGAAATAACGATGTAAATATAAAGGTAGAGTTCCGCAATTGTATTCCAATTGGGTTGTAAATAAATAATAAAAGTCCATATTAAATATATGAACTGTATTTTGGGTGCATATGTATAATAAGTTAATGGGCCTGAATATGTTTTTAGGCCTGAAATGCCATAATTTATGAACTAGAATGTGAGATTTAAATAAGTTAGGCTTACTACGGCTTCGGGGCCTTTAAGCCCACCAAGTCCTAGTGCCGGTCCGGGCCCACGCGAAATGGTTCGTGACAAAAGTTGGGTATCAGAGCATAAAGTTGGGCCTTAGGAGATCAATTTGCGGCAAACATAGGAAATTAAATAAGAGAGAACTCCTATGTTGGGATCGCCGGGTAACCAAAAAGGAGCTGTAGTTGGGATTGAATTCCATTCTTAGCCATTTTAGTGCCGGTGGACGCATCGTGCACGAGGATGGAAGGAAATCTATATGAAACTTAGGATGAGAACTGAAGGTACATAAAGAATAGTAAACTATAAAAAGGGTCTGGGTAACCGACGTTTATAAAATAAATATTGAGTTTTGCTAAATCCCCTCCATCTATTTTGAAGCAGAAGATCAGTTGGAAATTGGTGTAATGGCCTGATCATCCAGTACACCTTGATTCGACAAGAGACACTGCTTCGAAAATTATTTGAAATTGTTTAGAAAAGAATTCGGAGTTTTAAAGACTGTAAGAAAGTGAGTTTATTTGAAGTTGAGAAAAAAAATGTTTTATTATTTGCTTACTAGAAATTGTTTTGAAGTTGCAATTAATTGTTTAGTTTTCTTGTTTTGTCGGCATGTCAAAAATTTATCTGATGATTTTAGAATTTAAATTAATTACAATGATTGCATGTTTGATTAATTTTTATCATATTGTCTATCCTGAGGACTAAATTAGGCCTATAGAAATTAATACTGATAATGTAACGCCCCAAAATTTTCGAATCTTAAAATGATATTATTTTATCGGGTCATGAATAGGGATGCAAACGTGGAAATTGTAATTTACATTAAATCAAGGGTTAGGAAAGGAGGATCTAAGACAAATAATCATAATAGACAAGAAATCTTTAAATCCTTGGATTAAAAGACTTTTAGATGATAATGAACCCGTCATCCTCGTATCATCATTGGATCAGGCAGGGCATAAAAAACACGCGTCAACAGATGTAGGAACGATAAATTGTATCTAAAAATAATTAAAAGTATTAATTGAGGTGAATCTCGACATGTAGAATTTAAAGGGAGTATTGAAAACAATATAAAAGAAAAAGATAAATTAATTATGTGATTGAATGTGAAGAACGTAATGTTAATTGGATAGGTCAAATTACCTAAAACAGTATAAAATAATGTTTACATAATAAAGAAGCGTGTAAATTTTCCTTTGGAGAAATTAGTGTGAAGGGTAAAATTTTAGTGTTTGTAGTAGAATTACAAGTGGCTAGTGAAAATTGGGTAAAAGTTTGGATTTAACATTTGATTAATATGGAAAAGATTGATTAATAGTTAATAGAAGAAATTACAAACCATGAACTAATTAGGAATCTATTATGATAAAATGAGCAATTAGATTGAATCGATAATAGATTTATGGAACTAATGTGTAACTAAGTGATAGTTGGTATAATCTAACAAAAAAAAAAAAACACAAATGGGGAATGAATGGGGAAAGGAACGTAGATGCTGTAGGAAAACTTACTAACTTAAGGGAATTTGATGTATCTAGGTAGGGAGTTAACGTAGAAATGACTAATACTATTTATTAATCTAAGTTAAGTATAAGCAACTTATATAAAACCTGCTTTAAAGAATTAAGTACGCAAGTAGATTGAGGTGCTAAATGAAATAAATATTTTAATAGCATTTGGAAAGGGATAAAGGTCAAAGATAACTTATAATAATTAAGTAGAGATTGAAAAATCAGAATAAGGGAATCTAAGAAGCAATGACTTTAGGATGGAATTAAATTTTGTGTAGAATGATGGAGAATGATGGTTTTACGATTCATGTATCCATAATTAAACTCTTTTATGGATAAGACTTAAATGAGGTTGGGTACACTAAGGAGATATGAAGGATAAAAGAAAGATTAAAATGAATCAAAAGGCTAAAGAATTTGGATAAGACTAGGGGATGTTAAATCGTAGACAAGCCGATGATGATCATATGGTCAATTATTCAGATGTAAGAAATATACATATATAAAAAAAAATGATGATAAAATAAATAACTAAATAAATAAAGACAAAATAATAATATAAATATAAATCATTACTGAAAATAACTTTTGGGAAAATTTAAGATTTAAGGTGTGGACCAATCTACTTGAGAGGCTAATAATAGCGAAAGGAATAGTAATGATGGAGATTAGAGTATTCTTGGTTTAAGAGGATCATTTAGCGATGAAATATGTAACAATAAATTGGAATTAGATGATTTGAGGATTGTCCTCGTGGAGATAGACAATTCATTTTTGTTAAATACAAAAGGGTTTTTAGAAAATACACTGAGTAATGATTTTCAAACTTTATGAAAATAATTCTTTAATGAAAATATTTTATATTACCAATTGATTATTGGTTTTTTAACAGGAAATGAAAGGTGAATGCCAAATTTCTATGAAAAGAATTTCAAAAGTTATATGTGGAGTGACATGCTGATCTTTTAAAAAGTGAAAAGGAAAAGCTATTTTAAAATTTTTAAATAGTCAGTTACACCATAGAATGGTCAAGCCTATCGGTAGTTGCTAACTCATTAGTCGAATTTTGGATTAAACGATGGAAACTAACAAATCAAATGGATGGAATACTAATGTGTATTGAGAATATTAATAAAGGAGAATGTGGAATTACTTACAAACTTTAGTTAGTACATCCCAACTGATGAAATTCACTAATATGAGAAGCTTAGTGTTGTAGACTATTAATATAAATGAATTTATTGAAATAGAACCTAAATATCTCGTTGATACGTTAGAGATAGAATACATTAGAATTGAAAATTTTGAAGTATATGCCTGCCTTTTAGATTATAATGAATTGTGACACAGCAGAGCTAGAGGGACTCGATATTTAAATTTAAACACGCAGCAATTAATCTCTTCAGACTCTTCGATAAATATTAAAATTTATTTATTTAAATCCTGACAGGATAGTTGTCGGTAAAGAAAAAAAAATTCGACGTTGACCCTTTTGTGAGACAATGCTTTGACTTAAATTGATCAGAGGGCTATCTGAAAATGATAACAGTAATAGATGTAAACAACCCATAAATGTATTAAACAATTAAACTTCAAGAGGAAAGTTCGAAAATAGTTGTTAAATTAGTGAAATGTGCAGGTATTAGTTGATATTAGTTGAGGTTAAGATAATAACACCAGGTGGCCTTGTGCTAACTTGTGCTAACCTGAGAAACTAGAGTCGATAAGATTGAATGGATAAATTTAAGGACATTATAAATGCCTTGCTAGGCATAAATAAGAAAGGATGAGATAGATAAATTGATACTATATATTACAACTTGGAAAAAAAAAATAAAATAAAATCAAACAATTAGCTTATGTATTATAAGTATGAATTAGGGTCTTACTATTATTTCATAATTCATGTATGAACTGAACCTTCATACGGAAACGAATAAATTATTTAGTTGACGCAGAGTTGGGTGAATGAAATTGAGTTAGTGATGTCGGCTTAAATGATGTGATATTGGAATTGTAAGACAGCGTTAGGTCGGGACTTAAGAACTGTTATTGAAAACTGTTATTGAAAGAATAAATATTAGATTGAAACAATAGTGATCGGATAAGCTGTGGAAAATCATGCTTCGTAGTATAAAGAAACTAAGTGAAAGGAATACCTAATAAGTATGCTTCAATATCCTTAAGATGAATGAAGGCACCATAAGCGAAATGAGAGGTTATTATGAAAGTCAACTTTTAATGATAAATGATAAGATAATTTAAGGAATAAGTGTTAGACGTAAGGACGACGATTAAATAGAAAGAAGTGTGGAGATTCCCTATAGCAATCGGTAACTATATAGCTTGAACGAAATTTTATTCTACATATTATGATTAGCGGT